GGAAGAATGATGAAGGAGTTTGAGGAGCAAGTTGTGTTCTCATCCATCCCCCCTGCTGAAAGAGAAGGTCTAGGTAGGGACTGCCGAATTTTGGAAGTAAATGCATGATTGCGCAGGTAGTGTCAGAGAGAGGGCTTTGGATTCTTCAACCATGAAATGCTGTTCCAGAAACAAACACAAGGAGGAAGATCAGGGGTAGCCCTAGACTAGCTTCCAGCAACTGGCGCCCTAGGCAAACTGTGCAATCGGCGCCCCCACCTCCAAACCCCTCAATGACATTGTGCAATCATTTGGCGCCCCACTTAACTTGACACCCTAGGCGACCACCTAGTTTGTTTATATGGATGGGCCGCCCCGAGGAAGGTACAAGAGAGGAGGATCTGGCTTGTACTGAGAAGATATGGCAATCAGCTGGTTATCTAAGGCATCTGAACACAAATGTCAGAAGCCTGGGAAACAATCAGGAAGAATTAGAAGTCCTGGCACAATTAAAGAACTATGATTTGACGGGAATATTGGAGACTTGGTGGGATGACTCACATGAATGGAACCTTACCAGGGAAGGGTATAAACTGTTAAAGAAGGACAGGCAGGGGAGAAAAGGCGGAGGACTTGCACTGCATATAAGAGAGCAGTATGATTGCTCAGAGCTCCAGTATAAAGTGGAAGAAAAGCCTGTTGAGAGTCTTTTGGTTAAGTTTAGAGGTGGGAGCAACAGGGGATGATGTCATGGTTCATATCTGCCATAGACCACCAGATCAGGTGCATGAGGTAGACCAGGCTTTCTTTGGACAAGTAACAGAAGCTTCCAGATTACAGTCCCTGGTTCTCATGGGGGACTTTAATTGCCCTGACATCTGTTGGGAGACCAATGTAGCGGTACTCATACAATCCAGGAAGTTTATGGAGAATGTTGGGGCTAACTTCCTGGTACAAGTGTGGAAGGAACCAACCAGGGGCTTTGCACAGTTTGACCTGCTGCTCACAAATCAGGGAGGAATTAGTTGAGGAAGTAGATGTGGGTGGCAACCTAGGCAGCAGTGATCATGGGATGGTCAATTTCAGGATCCTGACTGAAGGAAGAAAGGAAAGTACAGCCCCTGGACTTCAGAAAAGTAGACTTTGACTTCCACAGAGAACTGAAGGGCAGGATCTCCTGGGATGCTAACATGAAGGGGAAAGGAATCCAGGAGAGCTGGTTGTATTTTAAAGAAGCCTTAAAGGCAGAAGAAAAACATCCCGGTGAGCAGTAAGAGAAGCAAATAGGGTAGGCAACCAGCTTGGCTTAACAGAAATCCTTGGTGAGCTTTCACACAAAAAGGAAGCTTGCATGAAGTGGAAACTGGGACAGATGACTAGGGAGGAGTATAAATATATTGCTGGAGAATGCAGGGGTGCAATCAGGAAGGCAAAAGTGTGATTGGACTTGCAGCTAGCAAGGCATGTGAAGGGCAACAAGACATGTGAGCACTAAGAGGGTGGTCAGGGGAGGTGTGGGTCCCTTACTGGATGAGGATGGTACCTTAGTGACAGACAATGTGGGAAAAGCTGAAGTTCTCAATAGGAATACAGGAAAATAAGAACATAAGCCCAGTATCCTATCGTCTGATAGTGGCCGATGCTAGATGCCCCAGAGAGAATGAACAGAACAGGTAATCAAATGGTTTCCCTGCTGTCATCCATTTCCAGCCCCTGACAAAGAGAGGCTAGGGACACCATTCCTACCCTTTCTGGCTAGAAAGTATTAATGGACTTAACCTCACTTAATGTATCTGTTCTTTTTTTAACCCTGTGATGGGCCTGATATTCACAACATCCTCTGGCAAGGAGTTCCACAGGTTGACTGAGTGCTGCATGAAGAAAAAAGGCCTTTTGTTTTAAATCTGCTAATTATTAATGCCTTAATGCTTTTTTTGCCTCTGTCTTCACAGACAAGGATTACCATGGGCTCTGTCAGGGGCTGTGGCAGCCCATTCTCCAGGATCTGCCGGACCTGTCAGGGTACAGATGTTAGAGGGGCCTGTGGGAAGGCTGCAACCCCCCCCCTGCTGGAGAGCCCGACCCACTGAGCCCCCTCGTGCCATCAGAAAGCCCGCCACCCCTACCAGAGAACCCTCTTGCTCAACACAGGGCAGCTGCCTTTCCTGCCACCATGGGCATGGGACACATACACCTACCCAGGGAGCACAATGCCCATCTCACCCCATCCAGGAGGAGCTGGCTGCCCCAATTCCCTCCCCACATCGGGCCACCCCTGCCCCCAGCCCCCTCACCATCACAGTGCAGTCCTCAGAGCCGCTGGCAATGACATGGTTATTGTGTGGGCACCAGTCGATGTCCAGGACAGGCCCCGTGTGCCCACACACCGTGGGGTACGATTTATCAATTCGCCCTGCAACCCTGTTGATTTCTGGGTAGGGGAGAGTATTTCAAGGATGCACACGTGACACAGCTGAGACCAAAACTCATTACACCTGTGAGCTACAAAATTATGGGACATCGTCTCCCTCACCACACTGTCCTCTTCACACTGGGGGAAGCAGGGTAGGAGCAAATAGCCCCTCACAAACCTTGGTCCCACACAGACCCATTCTCCCTCCCCCACCACATCCCCATCTCTCCTGGGGCTCACAACACAGTCAATTCATTAGTGTCACCACTGCCAGGAGCTGGTAATACTCCACTGCTTTCCCCCACCACCCCAGTCACCTTAAGCACCGGCAGCACCATGAAGGCCCCTCACCCACTGGCCTCCACAGTCACGGCCACAAAGGTGGGGTTGACAGCACAGAAGGTGACGCGGGAGACGCGGATGTCATCATAGCACTGGTCGTTCTTGACGGGCTGCCCGAAGACATGGCGGAACTTGCTCTGGTGCACGACCTTCCAGAATAACATGGCTGGGGAATAGGGGAGGGAGAGAATCAGAGAGGCCAGACCAGAAATGCAGCCACTTCTGGGGTAGAACACAGCAGTCCATTTCTATGCACAGGAAGCAGAAACAAGGTCCCCTAGAAACTGCTGCTAGAGCCTTGTGTGGGCAGTAGGGACAGACTGTGCCTCCCAGAGAGAGCTGTAAGATGGGAGGGGAGCATCAATCCTACCACTGAGGCGCAGCTGGAGCAACGGACCCGTGGAAAAGGGCAAGAGGCGAAGACCTTCAGCAAAATAACCCAGAATTACTCTATCATCAGCTGCAGAGCTTTGACGCGCCCTAGTGATGGGAAGGGGAATGGCCACGAACTCTGCCCGGGCAGAGGGATCGAAAGTGAAGGGGGAAGACCAGTGTGACCCACCCCCATTTCACCATTTTTACACAGGATTCCCCTTCCTTGTACCCCCACCCGCTGCAGGGATCGCAGCCAGGCGCCCCACCCCCGAGCAGGGCCGGGGGCAACCCGCCCCCACACACAACCCCCTGAGCACGGCCAGGAGCACCCCCCATAATGCCTCCCCCCCAAGCAGGGCCAAGAGCACCCCCTCCTTGATCCGGGCCAGGGCTCCCCCACAAAACCTCACCCCGGAGCGGCGCCAG